TGGGGACCTAAGGTCAGGACGGTAGCTACGGAATTCACGAGACCTGCTCCCTTTGAAAGGGTTTACTCATGATATGTGGTGGGAAGTGAAACTGAAAGAATTCAAAAGCTGACTCCAAAGGTGTCATCCAGAGCACCTGCACATACCAGGCTGTGCTGACAAGTACTGCGGTTGCTGTAACTATCTTAGCGTGTCTCTGGATTTGCTTTATTATAGATGATAGTCCAAAGATCTAAAAACATAAAGTTCAAAATTTATTTTTCAAAATTTATATTATCTCTCCCGAAGCATTTTCTCATTTAAATACCAAAAACTCAAATTTTCTCATACATTTTTCATTTTTCATGTTTCTGATTTTTTTTTAAAGTAAGAGCTTCACAGTGCCAGTTTCTAAAAGACATTAGAACCCATCATTGGGTCTTTGCTGTTGTACGTTTTTTCATTTGGTTTGGTTTTGTAGGTTGCTACATTTTATGTCTCTTAAAGCTCTCTCATTATGGGCCATCTCTGTCAAAAGAAATGGCAATAAGTGATAAGAGCTTGGTAAGAAGGAGTGGCTTGTCATGAAAGCATGCCTGCTTATCTAGGCTGCCCTTAAACACAAGGCGGGGCCCACGGTGCAGAGCTCTGTGCATGCTCAGGCCTGTGCCATGCTCCACAATACTGACAATGACCTTCTCCAAAGGAAAATTTGCTTCAAGTTCTTTATTGTCTTTGTATTTCTATACGGATGAAGCTCAGATTTTACCAGTAGGACCCACAGCTTCCTGAGGGCTTCACAACCTCTTCAACCTTTCCTCCTGCCTTCACACCATGTCTCCATCCCTCTCCTTTTCCATCTTACACTGCAGCCGCATAGATCCTGGAGGTCCCCCACAACCTGCAACGCTAGCTCAAATTCCAGTGCACTGGTAACACTGCAGACTCAGTGCCTCAGTGCCCACACTGTAGACCTGGTGTAATCATAGAACTGCTTCAAAATACACTTAAAGAATGACTCTATGCGGCTTTCCCAACTGCTTCCTCATCAAGAAGAATTGTCAGTATTTTTTGTGTCTCCCACCACCATCATCATAAAATGTTTCATTCCTCTCAAATTAAATATTTGTCATTCTCTGAGTTGGAATTTCCTTAGAAGGAAAGGTCACAAATTATTTATTGTTGAATTTCTAGTATATAATCAGTAATAGGCATGTAAGCAAAACTTTGGTAAGTGGATGAATAAACACCCAGAACTACGAGTAAGCAGAAAGGCAAAGGAACGCATTTTTAGATTTGAAATACTCAAGCTAACATTTTCCTGGATGTTTACTAAGTTGTGCTAAATGCTGGAGACCTCATGGAGTTTTAAGTCTAAACCCAATTAGGGGAGGACAGAGAAGATCTCCCAAATGAAGTGGCATTGAATTGAGACCTGAAAACCAGATAGCTGGAAAATGGTGTAGAGCAAAATATTGCAGGTATGAGGAAGAGCATTCACAAAGGTTTGGACAGAGAGAAGGTGTAATGTGTTTCACATCCATCCTATTGGATGCCCAAGAGAGAAAGGCAAAATAAGAAAAAAGGAAAGTGCAAAGAAGATGAAGCTGTATCGTGCAAGACATTATGGGTGTTCATAAAGAAAAGGAGGACACTGTCTCCCAGGCTGAACACCTTCCTAACGAAGCCACATGAATTCTGGGTCAGGCAATCCGTGCAGGCCTGCTGAACACATTCATGATCATAGTGAAAACCATATCTAGATGGCTTCCCAGCTTGACTATTTCTATTTTAAGAATTGTTTATTTTTATTCTCAGATTTTATAGAGAGGATAGACAAAAATCTTCTATCCACTGGTTCAGTCCCCAAGTTGCAGCAATGACCAGAACCAATCCAATGCAGGGAGCCAGGAACTTCTTCTGGGTCTCCCTTACAGGTGCAGGGTCTCAAGGCTTTGGGCTATCCTCAGCTATTTTCCCAGGCCACAAGCAGGGAGCCAAATTATAAGCGGAGCAGCCAGGATATGAACTAGTGGCAAAATTGGATCCCAACATGTGGAACACGAAGACTTCAGCCACAAGGGCCACAGTTAGCACTTTTTTTTAAGCCCATTTAGTTTTTCAAACTCTTAAGTTTTGTCCAATTTTTTGTTTTCAGGTTTTTTTTCTTTCTGGCTGTATAGCTATGTACTTATAATTTAAATACTTAAAAAATTAAATGTGTTAACATACAATAAGATGTTAATTTGCTGTTTTATTTGTTTTTTACATTATTCTATACATACAATTTTGTTGTTTGGCTTACTTGACTCATTGTGGCTACTTTAAGATGTGCTTTGGTAACTCATCTCTTTCTGCGTAAGAATTTGAGCAAATTCATATGCATTACTGTTTTGTTGACCATGTTTTATGTACAAAGCATTGTGTTCTAACTGAGGGATTCAAACAAGCTAGCCCAAGGATCTTAGAGTCATAGGAATAAGGTTTGTTTCAGAAGAGCTCACTTACCATTGGGTCCTTCAAGAAGTTTGTGTGAAATGAAATTAGAGATATGTTCATTTCGGGCAAAAAAAAAAAAAGTGAAATCCATGCATAGTTTTTCACAATATGTATTTTTAAGAAATCTTTGACTTCCCCTAATCTATAGAATGAAGAATCTCTGCACTCTGAGATTACCTGAGAGAAGTTGCCTTACTTTGTACTTCATCGTGGCCTTTGCTGATTTCACAAATAGAGTTGCTGCTCCGGATCTTTGGAAGATTTCTTCCAGGGTCTCCATCAATACCAAAATCTGTGATACAACATGGACTTCTCAAGTTTCATGGAAAACACATAGAATAAAAATCTATGCATTGATTTTACACACACACATATATATATATTAACAAAACTATACTTATCTACTAATTCCATTTTCCATGAACTTTTTGAAGTTCTTATTTTCTAAAAGGGATTGTACATGAAACAGTACAGTCTTTCAGGGATGGAGGATCAAAGGGGGGAAATAAAAAAGCAGGAGGGCAGGGAGGAAGTGGAGTGAGAGGGCAGAGCTGAGAATCAGGGGCACATTTCAGCTGCTCTTCTGGTTTTGTTCCTCTGTGGTTTGAGACTTCTGCTGATCTCAAGTTTCGCTAAGTGCCTAAAATGCTCTTGGCCATGAATGCTTCTTGATTATTTTACCATGAGACTTTCATAGATAGATATAATCTACCACTATTTTATGCTTTTTAAATGATACAGTGGATAGTCCATAGTCCATTCCCTGTGAATAAGATGAAGCTCATATCTAACTTTGATCTACACATATAGATTATTTTTCCTTGACAATTACCCTTGCCTGTAAAGTTTATATATAATTTCACTGAAGTGTAAAAATGATCTCAGAATCTGGATCCCAATATATATTGACTAAACTTCAAAATCCCTATTACCATTATTATTATCAATTATTATCAACATAATTATTTTTAAAACATTATTATTGTGTTATCTTAAAAGCCATCACACCTACATGTTAAAAATGACAGGATCTTTTAGTAGCTATTTTGCTAATTTGTGCAGCATTTATTCATATACAAGTAATACTGGTAAGACAATGTACAGATGGGAAAGGGAATTTTGGAACCATGAATCCTGCCTCCATGATTTAAGGATAAAGTAATTAGCTGGCAGTTGATACTGAAACAAAGAGGCTAATTTCCATCCTCTGCCTCTAAGTTGATTGTCCAGGAAAGTGATTATTTGACTGGGGAGCTAGTGGTCATGTCTCTGTGCAGTTTGTAGAAGCCCTTTCTCCTCCAGGCTATCACGATTGGGTATCTTTCCCTCATGTAATAGGCAGAGAGTCTGCCAGGGGCTTCAGTGTCCTAACCTTTCTCTCATAAAAGTTGATAGATCCAGATGAGTGAAAATAACATGAAGGCTCAGGGAAGAAGACTTATACTACATTCAAACAGCCTTAAAAATATTAGTAGAGAACAACATTGGGCAGCATAGGAACATGCACATAGAATATAAAATAGAAAATTTCTCCCTCAAATATCACTATGCAGTCATACATACATGAACATCACCACCCCATATTTATACGCAATGGTTGAAAATCCAGATGGCTGTACATGAAAATACATCAAGCATTTAATTATGAGTCATTTGATTACAGATGAATTTTATATATTTTTTTGCTCTTTCTTGTATTTCTCCAATTGTCTTTGCTGAATCTATATTATTTTGCAGCAAAAACTCTCACTTAATTTATAAAGCTTTATAAGACAGGTTTTTAAGTGTATAAGCTATTGTTTAATTATTAAGATGATTTTAAAAAAATATTTAAAGGTACTATTAGAATCTACATTCTATCTTCCTGTTACTGCACAAATACACTTATGCTAGAGGATAGCCAGGAGCTAGAATCTGCCACACCAGTTGGCTTACTAGCTGAATTCAGCCAGCAATCCTGGACTAAAGCCAACATTTCCTGCAATTCCATTACAATGCAATGAAAAGAAAGAAAGAAATATGAGCAGAGAACATGAAAATCGATTCACCCCTATGCAACCAAAAAAAAATGAATTGGTGGTGCTTTATTTTTGCCTTGCTTTTTATTGGGTCACTAGGCTTAGTCTCAGAGATGGTGACAGAGGTCTAGAGCACAACTTTGGTTCTCTTACAATCACTCTGCATCTCCACCTGTGAGCAGTTTCCCAAATGCCACCTCATGCTACCCCTTGCTAAGAATGTTCTCATTTTTATTAGATAACATGCCTGTCATGCTCATTGAATGCCCAGTGCTATATTGTACTAACTGACTCAAGTGCATGCACATACACCCAGGCATATTGGCAAACAAGTTCAGTCTTGACTGTGACTCTTTGAGGCCAGTGTAACGTGTAAGTTCCTGCTTTGTAGAATTGTGGAGTTGCCACTGGGAGAGACTTGAGGTAAATTTACGTTTCTGGTATTTATTGTGGTCCTTTCAGTCACCTCTTCCCTGATTCATTTCTCAAATTTTTATTTCTTAGGCCTTGCTCAAACAGAGGATGAAACAACAAAAGGGCCTGTTGATGCTGATAAAGGCCATCTTCTTTTAAATTCCACCCTAGCTGGGAGCCCAGGTTTGGTTTTATGTTCGAATGATTTCTCTGCAGTCCTTTTTGGAACACTACTGTTTTAAATGGGACATGCCATTGCAGGGACATTGTGACAAACAGTAAGAAATGAAAACTGCATTGACAGTCCTTATCACGGGATATTTCTCAATTCTTCACTATTTCACAAGAATAATCCCATGAGTTAGAAACTAAAACAATCTAGTAAAACACAGAAAGGATTAATGAAATGGCGACTTCATGTAAAGGGATCCCATAATGAGTGATGGACGAGAAGGCTCAGTGCAAAAAGTGAAGTTGGTCCTGTTCCAGCTGCTGACTTTTGAGTGAACTTCCCTGTGAGACTTTGCCCTTTAATTTCAGAGCTGGACCAATAATACTTGCCTTGTAGTGTTTCTCTAACAGTTAAATAAGAAGGTGCATGCATAAGTACTAAGCTCCATGTCTGACACATCATCAGTACTCCATAAATAAGGATTGTAAGCCAACATGGGTGCTATGTAAGCAGAACCAGGCAGCATCCCATTCACTTTCATTATTTTAGCAGGGAGCAAATAGCTGTACAAGAACTGTCCAACAGTAGAAAAAGAAGGATTCTTCTGTAGTGACGTTCAAGGAGGATACTCCAGATTTAGAATACAAACTGAGAGAAGATGGCTACAAGACCACAAACTAATTGTTGAGAAAATACACAGAGATCAATAGAGGCAATGAATTTTATTTTTTTTAAAGATTTATTTTTATTATTTTTTCATTGGAAAGGCGGATATACAGAGAGGAGAGACAGAGAGGAAGATCTTCCGTCTGATGATTCACTCCCCAAGTGAGCACAACGGGCCAATAGGAGCCTCTTCAGGGTCTCCCACGCGGGTGCAGGGTCCCAAAGCTTTGGGCCGTCCTCGACTGCTTTCCCAGGCCACAGGCAGGGAGCTGGAAGGGAAGCGGGGCTGCTGGGATTAGAACCGGCGCCCATATGGGATCCCAGGCGTGCAAGGCGAGGACCTTTAACCACTAGGCTACCGCGTCGGGCCCCGAGGCAATGAATTTTAAGCAGAAGAAAAGCCAAGGGAGAAAATCACGATGCGTGCTTAGAAGTTAACTGTTAAGCTTCTGAGTCCAGTTACACACAATTTCACTTTTAAATGACATGATGGTGTCTTACTGGAAAGCATTACAGGGCGAGATGCCCTGCATCCTATACACGATGACTAGCATGGTAGGGCACTGCACTGAGTGTTCTCATGAATTCCTTAACCTCATCCTCATGAAAGCCCAAAGAGATGAGTATTATAACCTTTGTTTTTCACAAGAGTAAATTACAGAGAAATTAAGCAACTCGTCCAAGGCTCAAAAAAAAAAAAAAAAAGCATGCTCTCAGCCACATACACCCACCACAACTATACTAACCATAACTACTGACCAATTGACTGTCAAAAGCGAAACAGAAAACAAGTCCTGTTCATCTTCACACACAGAATGACAAATATTAATGTTTGCCCTACAATACAATGTCGTATGATATTTATAGGAATTAAAGTCAAGAAAATCATGTGGCTCTCATCTTACGAAGCCTTTGAGATGTAAAAGAAGGTAGGTGGAGACACCAATGAAATCTAGGATGTGGACTGAGAAGAGAGGTCAAGTCAGGTAGAACATTAATTAAGGCAATTACGCCAGAAACTTCCACAGACAAGAAAACCAGGAGACGCCCAACAATGAGTTAATTGAGTTACAATGATATATAGATTGCCATGGTGACTCCAGCCTAAATCTGGAAATTGACACCAATGACACTTCCTTGGGTTGGGTTGGAGTCTGGAGTGATGCTTAATCCTTTTCTCCTGATCATTTTGATAATTTTAAAAATGCAGTTTTGGTGGAAGTTAAATAAGGATTCTTCCAATAATGCTTCATTCTTTCCCCTTAAAGTAATGAGATGATTTGTTAGTTTCCCACCTATGAATGCTTGTTGGACAATTAAAATTAAATACCTGGAATTAATACTGGTAAGACTAACACATGACTTCATCATTTTTATTTATCTAATTGTGGGAAATTGATCAACAAGTCTAAATATGGTTGAAAAAAGAAACATACTAAGCAGTCTAATTTCAAAATGACTTTTTAAAGACTTACCTATATATTCTAACTTATTTTGAAATTTTGTGTTTTAGCACTAAGAAATCAACTTGACCATGCATTGTCAGAACCAGGTATGTTAATATTTGATATGGAATTATGATCATCCTGCATTAAATGTTAATTGCTATTTAAATACCTCAGGAAAATAGCTATTATCTTTTTTATAAAGGATTTATTTATCCGGTTATTTACCTGAAAGGTAATATGATAGAATTATAGGAAGAGACAGAAAAAGAGATCTATCTGCTGGTTCACTTCACAAATACACACCATAGAGAAGGGTGGGACAAGATGAAGCCAGGTGCCAGAAACTCCATCCTGTTATTACACGAGGGTGGCAAGGATTCAAGAACTTGAACTATCTTCTATTATCTTTCCAGACATTCTAGCAGGAAGTGAGTCAGAAACAGGATAACCAAGACTCAAATTTGGGCACCTCAAGTGGTGGATTAGCATTCTATGCCACAAGGCCTGCCCTGAGAGTGATTATTTTAAAAGAGCAAATATTGCTACTTTTAGTCACACAAAGCTGTAAGAGCAAATGAAGTATTCTCTCTTTTTTTTTAATTATACTTTGCATTTCTTGGTGTCTAAGCGTTTTGGACTTAGTGGTATGCTAATGTGTTAGTAACTTTTCCCTTGAATTAGATGCTTTTGTTTTCTAATTGACGATAGATACTTGAGAAGTCTGTTCAAAGCTTATAAGCAACTTCCTTCTTCCCTGCTGTCATTGAGTTAATTGGTATATTTTTATATATGCTGATGTTGTCTCAATTTGGAGTCATTTTTGGCCACTGGTCACCACTCTGGGGACAGCACCACATTCTTGCCTGTAGCTGGAGATGTTCCTTCCGCTCTCCTAGAGGGGCCTGCAGATTGGCTTTAGTGACTTTGTGTTAGTCACTGTTAGGCTTTTCTCCCTTCACATTTGATGTGTGTCATATTTCACACAGGAATATAATCAATTGCTGGCTTTCACTTCTGTCTCATAGATTACATCTAAGTTTTAAAAGGATGGACAACAACACTGAGAAGAAAAAGTGTATATGTCTATATTGGAAAAGCTATTTTCAAGAAGTTGTTTAGAGGCTGGCGATAACAGGTAGCACATAAAGCTACCACCTGGGATAATGGCATCCTATTTCAGAGCTGGTTTAGGACCCAGAGGCTCTGTTTCTGATCTCAGCTTCTCCTCTGATACATCTAGGAAAGCAGCTGAAGGTGGTCTGCCACTCACTTGGGAGACCTATGGAAAGTTCCTGGCACCTGGCTCCAACCTGGCCCAGCACCGGCCATTTTAGCCAACTACAAGAAGGAGCAAATCAGAAGATGGAAGATCTCTCTCTCTGTTTTGAAATAAATAAATAATCAATTTTTAAAGAAAAGGCTTATTACATTTATCAGTAATATGATAATATCACATTTACCTGTGCATCTTCCACACATTTCTATTTGTTTCACTTGAAAGCACCACAAATATACTCTGAGTTTGGGAGAGTGACTCTAATTTAATTGATTTATTCTGGTGCATTCTACACATATAGTAGATATGAAAACTAATCTTAATGACTGTATCAGCGACTGCACATGGATACAGTGGAAGGAATAGAACACAGGTGGATTATTGTTATAATTATGCTTCTATTTGTCTGACTCGGGCTGAGGATCTTAGACACAAACTGGTTACACGTGTTTTCTGTCAAACTTGTGACCCTATGGTTTGTCTGATAACATACATTAAGATATTATTTTCTTTCATAATGTTCAAAATATAAATAGTCTGTGATTTTTATCATATCAAATTGGAAGTCCACACAGCTCTTACATTTACACCTGTAAAGAATACTGAATATGAGATTGGAACTTTCAGTTCTTGGTTCAGTGATGAATTAGCTGTATAGCTTTGGACAAAAAAAAGATTGTCCCACAAAGTTAGTTTGAAAAACAATTTTGAAAAAGCAAATGTATATAAAAGCTTACAGTATTAATGTATTTTATAAAAGAAATACATATTCTCTTTATATTATCTGCTTATTTTTCAATAGCTACATGTTAATTTATTTCACACTTTTAAACTTTATTTTCTCTCCTTTTTTCTCATAGTGATAATACCCATTATTCTGGGAGTGATTGCTGGGATCGTTGGCATTATCGTCCTTATCTCTTACTGTATTGGCCGACTGACAAAGGTGAGAATTTATTTTATTTTGTTGTTTGCTAATGTGAACAATTATAAGATCAATTAAACTCAAAAAGAAACAAAACTGTATTAAACACCAGATTTTTCAACTGGACACATAAGAATCACTGAATTCTGTTAGTGTATTTTTTTTTTTTTTGCATTTTTCCTATTTAATGGAACCTCCAAATAGACATCTGTGTCTTGTTTCCCCAATGAAAAATCTTTCAAACATTCTATATAACATGATTGAGTGCTAATATGAACATAGATGAGATAGCCACATTTTTACCTGTATTATTTACTTTATTTAATTTGTGGACAAGAATACTTAAAATAACATGATAGATTTACATGTGTGTATGATTTTTTCCTTTTTTTCCATTCTTTCATTTTCTAAAAAAAAAAATCTAAATTCATTTACCAATTCTCAGCACTTCTTTTTTTTATCACCAAAACTTTTAAAAATCTGTATGACACACCTTTGCAAAGCACACAGCTCTTACTCTGAGAGTCTATAAGGTGTTTAAAACACAATATCTGTGTGTATAATTGTGGTGCCACCACTGCTCTGTCATATTACATCCTTTTTTTTTTAAGATTTATTTGTTTTTATGGGAAAGGCAGACCTACAGAGAAAAGGAGTTAAGGAGAGAAAAGATCTTGTGTTTGTTGATTCACTTCCCCAGTAGCCACAACAGTTGGAGATGAACTGATCCAAAGACGGGAGACAGCAGCTTCTTCTGGGTCTCCCTCATGGGTGTAGGGTCCCAAGGCTTTTGGGCTGTCCTCTACTGCTTTCCCAGGCCACAAGCTGGAAGCTGGGTGGGAAATGGAACAGCTGGGATAGAAACCCACACCTATACAGGATCCTGCCTCATGCATGGCAAGGATCTAGCGACTAGGCTATCAAGCCAGGCCTTGTCATCCTTCATTCTATTTAGTCATTTAGTCACTATGTAGAGTAAAAATACGTATTGTTTATATATCTCTTTTCATTTTTAACTCATTCTAGCCAGTGACTTTTATAATGTCTTAAGACTATGAGTGATACTCATCATTCTGTGTAGATGTGCCCATTCCTAAGCATTACTAGATTATTAGCAAGTGGAATTGCTCTACTTGTGGATGCTTGTTGCTGTGTGAGATTTTATAAGGAGGTGAATATAAGATGCAGTTTCTTGTCTAAAGAATTGAAGAAAAAACATCTTATGTTTGGACATGTGTGTGAAGCTGATTCACCTTCTCTCTTGGGTGATGTTCTAAAACCTGATGAAGTCAATGAAATAGTTGATAAATTTAAGTGAATTCCCTATGAGTATACAAAAAAAAAGGCCATGGTCAACATAAGTCACACCAGATCAACACAGATCATGCCCTTTTTAATTTTATTTATTCTCTCACTACTCATTTCAGTAGAGAAATATTTCATATTTCATATTTTAAAATAGCAAGTATTATAGAAATACCAACATAGTTTCAATCAAGGTTTTTAAATATCTATGAAATAACAACTTATTAAAACATTTACAAAATGAATTTCAATCAAATGAAAAAAGCATAAAAAGATATTTTAAATTTGAATCACTTTAATTTTTAGTGTCTTAAGTTTGGAAAATTTTGTGATTAATATTTTCTTTTTTATTCATAGAAGAGCTCATTTGACATACAACTTTCCTCCTCACAGGGTCCAAACGTGACTCCACATTCTGTTGAAGTAGAAATCCCAGGTTGGTGTCAAAAATTTGCATTACTTGTTATCATGAAAATAACTAATGAGGTCCTTTTTACTCTAGGTTGGAGAAAATGATTAGGATTCATTTATATTCTATTTATTAATGTTATTTACCTAAGGTTGTGGTTTTTTTAATGTATTTGCAGTATAGTGAGATGATCTATTAGGCACAAAGTGTCTGAGAGACAGAGAGAGAAAAAAACAAATACTGCATATAAAAGAAAGCAAAATGTACTTCATGATTCCCAAGCAATGAAGTTAACATACATAGGAGATCTTACAAAGGGAATAGTATAAAAATCAGAGTTGTAGAGTCTGATCTTGAATAAGTCCATGACCTAGCATTTTCTTATCTGTGTGATCTTGAACCAGACACTAAGTTGGTTTTACTATGAGGATACTGTTAGTGTCCATTTGACAGGGTTTAGTAAGGATTAAACGAGGTAAAGCATTTAAAATAGGTTTTGGCTACAACAGGTGTTTATGTTGGTTAGCTACTAGCAACACTGCAGGATGGATTCCCAGGGACCTTCTGCATAACATCCAAGGCGAGCCAGGCCAAAGCCAAGAGACAGGACTTTCATCCAGATCTCCCACATGGGTGACAAGGACCCAAAGTCTGCTTTCCCAGAATTATTAGCTGGGAGCTGATTCAGAGAAGTCAAGACTCCAACAGGCTCTCACATGAGATGCTCATTGCAGTATCGCAAGACGTGGCGCAACTGGTTACAGCATAACCATGCCTCAATGCAGTTTTTAAATGCATCAAGTATCTCCCAAAGCCCAATTCTTTGCTAGCTGAATTTCGATGCAGTTTTAACAATTTGTTAATTTTGGTTTAAAAGTTATTATTTTAGCATTTTCTCTACCATTTTCACATGACTTTGAGCTTCTTTATGGAGTAGTGCCAAAATTTGGTGACAATTTTTATATTTCAATGTACCATAATGTACATTTATTTAACCCAAGTATTTCTGAAAGACTTATTGCAGACCTGACATGGCATTCACATTGACTCTATCATCATGGGCTTTCAGAATGTAATCAATGTAGTGAATATGTTTTAATCAACACATTGTAATGGTGCATGCTAATGGAGTGCTATATGATAATTTGATGCATAAATGCAATGTGTAATAATAAAATCAAGGTAATCAACATCTTCCTCTAGTAAATATTTACCATTTTTTGGTTGGCAGACTTCAAACTCCTTCTCTTCAATTTTATTATGAATCATATAATAAAGTGTAAATTCATGCAGCTTCTAAGCTAGTGTAGACCATGGCCTCCAATAAGAACTGAGATATAACAAAGACTTGAACAAACTAAAACACTTAGCACCAATTTTAAGGAACAGATGATGTTACACAGGATAAAGTAGAGCTAACAGACAGGCACCATGAACAAATGCATGCAGGAATTCAAGCCCCCCCCCCATCATATGCATTTCCACATTGGCAGAATTACTGGTTCAGTTCTCTCTGTTAATACCTCAAATACATGGAAAAGCGGTCAGTGTCAGATGAATCAAAATTTAAACTGACTTTATTCACCTATATTTGTGCAAGTGAAGTTGTTATCAGTAGCTACACAAGCGGAAACTTACAGGAAAATTTTCTGCTTCCATGGAAATCAAATGCTGTCCTGTTCCTTCCATCCATTCTCTGAGAGCAATATGCATACAACCTGGGTTGCACTGGTTTTGATCAGCTTGATACTCTGCTATCATATAGTAAACTGTGAGAGAAATTTGGGAATAAGTGTCTATGAAGACTTAACTTTGAAGAAAACAAAAAGAAAAAACGATATGATTCTTGAAATTAGACAGACTTGTGAGTTTACCTTAAACTCAAACCTGCATATGTAACTTGAGCATCTTATTTGTGACTTTCTCACCTTGTTCTGCCTCTATCCAAGTTGTCTGGTAGTGGCTCATCTCCTGCATGTAGGAGCACAGTAACAGTGTTTGTTCCTTACCTAAGACTTTTAGAATTGATTTGCTAATCAGTTTGCTAATCAATTCTTTTTTAAAAGGAAGAAAGAAAATATGTATCATTCTTAACATAAGACTCTAGCAGAGCTAATTCCTAAAGACAGTCCTTTCATTTGCTACCAATTCTATTCAAGGGCAGCTCGTTGGGAATGTAGAATCCTGAAATTTATTTTGTACATTAATTTGCTTTTTTTTAAATGTAACTGTATCATGTTGTATTTCTTTCCCCACCATAATCCCACAGAAAACTAAGCAATGGAAATCTGCTCATTCAAACAAATATTTGCAAAAAATCAGAGAAGACATTAGACTTCAGTCAAATGAAAAATGAATGTGTGATTTGGACATTCCAGTGTTATATACTTCCCTAAACTTACGAATTCAGAATGCAAATTTCATCGTCACAACTGCTGGTGATGCTACAATGAAAATAGATCTTCGCTCACTAACACTTCAAGATAGAACTTTTTTTGCATACTTGTTTCTGTGTTAATATAATTTTTTTTATAATCATGATTGGAAATTCTGGGCCAAAATTTCAGAATTCATTGACTGGTTCTTAAGATTACCTTATTTTGTACTATTGGATTTTAATTATGGTGCTATAAAATGAAGGTTTTGTAACACTTGTTTTTATTGCTTTGAAAAAATTCAGAGGATAATGAAATCCTATGTACTAAGAAAAGAATCAATTACTTTTTTTGGAAAAGAAACTTGACTGATTATAACAAAATGTATAAACTTGACATGCAGGTGAATATTTGAATCAGCCCCTTTGTTCTCTCAACTAAATTCATTTTCTTAGTAACATTTTGTAAATTATTTCAAATTATCTAAAAGAAATTTCTTAATATAAGAGACTAATATTTTGTGGACATACAGATGTCACTAAATTGCAGTACATTCTAAAAGGAATTATAAAAATAAGAAATACATGCTTGCAATATCCTGTATGCAAATTAATGGAATTCCATATATAATATGATAATAAAATGAATAATTTTGTTAATATTGGAACCTAGCAATTTTTAATTTTAAAATACATTTTAAATGTACATTTTTAAATGTATATATTAACCTACCTTTATGCTGAGAGTGTTTTTTTTTTAACCAAATTGTCTCTTTCAATCAAATAGGGAAAAAAAGAACATTTCTGTTCTCATGTATTTATGTGTATGTATATAAGAAACAGTTTTTAAAGTGTTATTAGGCTCATTTGAGACTATTGCAAAGATAATTTTAAGTGTTAAATATCTCTTTCCAGTAAAAATTAAACCTTGAACCAAGAGAGAACATGAAACTAACTTGGTTTCTACAGTAATCCACAACTCCAAGACAGTGAGAGATTGCAGTGTGCCTTCTGAACCAGGGCTACAGAACTCAGAGCAGAACTGAAGTACCAACTGCTTCAATCTTGAACTTCTCAACTTTTTTCTCTGTGCATCTCTTCTGGATCTTCCACATTAAATTTAGTGTGTGAAACAAAACTAGCTTTATATATTTTATATTTTTATAATTAAGCCATTAAAAGCTATAACAAATGAATCTATCTTGTGAAGATGGCATGAGATGGTTCATGCTGAATTTCTTAAAACTAAGGGCTAGTGTGTAAGGGGTAGTGAAATTGTAAAAATTCTAATCCTCAGCCATGTTTTCGTGTGTGTGTGTGTGTGTGTGTGTGTGTGTGTGTGTGTGTGTGTGAATTAAGGGTCTAAATCAGGGAGGCAATAAATGAAGAAAGGTGTGGGTCATTGTGAAGATATAACATGGGGCCCCTAACAATGGCATAGTAAAAGAGGTATTTTATGGATTGCAGAATAGCCTCTGGTTTATTACAAGCATTTACCCAATCAAAAGAAGATCCAATGAATCAAATGTCATTTAAATAAAAAGAAAATATTCTACTTTAGGTAACGTGTAGGCCTGTTATTGTGTCACACCAGTCCTAGTGTACTGTGATCCGAATTCCATCTCCTGCTTTTCTGTAATTTACTAACATCAGAGATTTTAATTCATTTCTGTGATTCCAGAGGCTTGAAAATTTGTTTTTTATTTCATAAGAACTTTCTTTCTTTTTTTAAAAAAAAAATCTATTTGTTTGAAAGTTAGGGTTACTGAAAGAGGTAGACAGAAAGAGGTTTTTCAATCGCTGGTTCATTTCCAAGTGGCAGCAGCCAGGACTAAGGCAAGTCAGGAACCAGGAACCTTCTTCAGAGTTTCTCAGGTGGATTCAGAATCCCAAACACTTGGGCCAATTCCCGCTACTTTCCCAAGTGCATTTCCCAAGTGGATTGGAAATGGAGCAACCATAACAACAAATAGCACCCATATGTGCAGCTAGCATCCTATGCAGCATACTTCATGGGCTGCACCTCAAAGTTAGCCCCATCAGCACCATGAAGCTTTCTGATATTCAAAACAGCATTTTGCATGGGACCATGATAAATATTTCATCAGGCATAATGTGGGAGATTTAATTTGGGGAACAGAATCTGAACTTGTACCTTTGTTTCCTCATCTGTGATACTCAGATTAGGATAACTGAACTACAAAAATGATATGAGATTTTTATGAAATAAGGTAGAGGGGAAAATCAGCACCATATGTGTGTTTGGTAAATGGCAGCTGTCATTATTGTCACTTGGGAGAAATTCTTTCTTGCTCACTTATTGATAATGAAAAAGAGTGCTAAACTCAATCCACATTTAGTATCCAATGGAATATTTAGCCTTCAAAGGCTGTTCTTGGTTGTGTTGAATAGCAATGGATTTGTCTTACTCTGCTGTCCCCACAAATGTAGACTTTGGCAATATGTCTTATATTTTAATGTTTTGGTACAAATCAGGTCAAAATTTTTATCTTTTCATTACAATAGCATTGTGTAATCATGAATTCTACAAATGTTTTACTATTTCAATTTATTCAAAACACAAACATTAAGGATATTATTTATTGAACACTTACCATGTAATCAACATCATTTTATCATTTACTTATTTATTTTGGTGTATCATTGTTTTAGACAATATGAATTTATTAGGAAACAGACATTGTAAATGATTCTAGAGCTTCAGTAGAATGAGCAGCTTCATGTGATGCCATTTCAATATGGATTCTGGTCTACCTGCTTTCCACGAATGTCACCATCTCCATATCAGACATAATCTTTGTCTTCTATAATTATTTTTGGACTTCCATATTCTGGAGAGGAACTTGATCTCGTTTGCACTGAGTCTTTCTACCCATTCCTTTACAATCAGATCCAACACTTTTCCCTGAGATTTTTCTGGGAGCATAGTGCCTCTTTGGGCACAGTTTCTGTGGCATTTCGTTTAACCAATACCCAGCCCAAGAGCAGAGCAACCCTTTAAATGCTTGTTCTGCCATGGCCTCATCACTCTAACTCTCACTCTGTGGAAGAGCTACTACAAAGGAACACTCCCAGCCCTACTCTTGAGACAAAACACAGGCCGACATTATTTTAAATGTTTCCTTTGGTCTTCATAGTAATCATTGAGGTTGATATTGTTTTATATTAAGATGAAGAAATTCATGTTCAAAGAGACTAACTGACATCCCCAACATAGTTTGATATGTCAATGGCAGAGCTACCATTTCCCTGCTTGCAGACAGGGAATTCGCAGTAGATCTGTGCTCTTAAACATAGCGCAAATGTGCTACTCAAGATTTTTGCTTCTGGGGCTTGGTGTGATAGCCAAGTGGCTGAAGTCCTTGTCTTTCTACCTTCAGACCAGAGATGGTCTCCCCAAGAAACCGTTGAACTTATCTGGACAATAAGACACTGGACTTTATACTTGGTAAATGCTTGCAATGAAAGAATCTTAACTGAATTTGAACTGTGGTAATGCAACAAGGTGGAGGAATCCACCAAGGGCGGGTGGGGTTGAGGGGAGTTGGGGATAGGGGGAGGAATTCCAGTATGTATAAAACTGTGTCACATAATGCAATGTAATCAATTAAAAATAATTAAAAATAATTAAGTCCTTGCCTTTCAAGTACTGGACTCCCATATGGGCACTGGTTCTAATCCCAGCAGCCCTGCTTCCTATTCAGTTCCTTGCTTTTGTGGCCTGGGAAAGCAGAAGAGGTCTGCCCAAAGCCTTGGGACCCTGCACCTGCCTGAGAGACCTGGTGGATGTTCTGGCTCCTGGCTTCACGAATCTGTGCAGCTCTGGCCATTGCGGCCACTTGGGGAGTGAACTAGCAGATGGAAGATCTTCTTCTCTGTCTCTCCTTCTCTCTGTATATCCAATTTTTCATATAAATAAATAAATACATCTTTAAAAAGTATTTTTGCTTCTGGTAATGGTTGAGTAGCTTGCTTCTGAAAACTCCTCTAACTTCCCCAATAAAAATGCACAAAATACTTATTTTAGTCTGACAGAAGGCATTATACAACTAACAAAGCAGTAAGAGCTTAAGGGTCCATAATCCTAAAAGAAAAGAAAATTCAGAAATAAGAGATCGTGCATGATAGCAAATTTCTCTTAATGCATTTGCCCGTTTCAAAGCAGAAAATGAGATGATAAGAAGACAAGCTGAATTTTGGGTGAGTGTACAAATGTTAGAGTGGGACCAGGAATTCACAGATCTACACATAAACAGATTGTTTACTTTGTATCACCTTAACCCCAGAGTATTAAAGGTTATCCTAACCTAACTACTTAACATAAGCTGATATAAATTCTTGAAAAGACATGAACAAAATACAGATAGCTCAAAATATCTCTTTTATTCTGGTGCAACACCCAACATTTAATTAAAAAATAGCAAGGAACTTCCAAAGATAAAAATGATTAAAGATACACACAAAAGCAGAAAGCAGAAACAAAACTATAGGAAACTTCAATGTTACAGGTCATGAAATTTAAAACAACTTCAGATGACTTTGGAACTGATCATGTGGTAAGAGAGAGACGTTAAATTGTATATTAAAAAACAGATACAAAATTCTAGACTAGAACCAAAATGTCCAATCTAATGATTAACCTATTATGCAAATTTAATGTCATATTTGATTTAGCTGAATGAAGAATGAGAAGAGTAGATCAGAAAAAAGCATTCAGACTAAAAAATGCAGAAATGAAAATGCATGCCAAATCAGAAAACAAGGCATAATGAGCACACAGAATACAGAGAAAAGCTCTATACGCATGTAATAGAACACTGTGGGGGATGCAGAGAACTCAGGGGCAGAGGTTTTTTCAAAACTGTCCAGAGACATCGAGCCACACCTTTGGTAACTGTTACTTCAACACAAAAATATAAACATATCACTGAAAAGTTCACAAAAAATATACAACCATATTCAGAGTCCACAGTGCTTTTTCTTCTTGTTGCTATTTCAGAACCACAACTGTTCATTCTAAAATATAATGGCAACATTGCTGATTCCCCTTGACTGTCTCTAGACTTGAACCCCGCTTAAAAATGAACACTAGGGGCATCTTGGCATTGCACCCTTCTCCATATCTTGCAAAACATATGTTTTTGGAGGATCGCGTTTAGAATATGTTATGACTCTGCACAAACACTCCTTGAGATATGAGAAATGAATGTTTCAAAGAGCGGGAAAAACAGAAGCAGCTCTGCTTCCTAATTTA